CACTCCACTGCGCTAAATTGCACTACACTACAGTACATGACACTACACTACATTACACTACACTACTACACTACACTACCTTCCACTACACTTCACTACATTACACTACACTACACTCAACTACACTACAACTACAACTACACGCCACTACACTCCACTACACTAATTTACATTACGCTACATTAGACTACACTACATTACACTGCACTACACTACATTCCACTACACTCCACTACACTACACTACAGTACACTACACTACATTAGACTGGATGACACTGCACCATAGATAGACAGGTAGAGAGATAGACAGATAGATAGATAGATAGATAGATAGACAGATAGATAGACAGGTAGACAGCTAGACAGATAGTCAGATGAAAGAGAGAGAGAGATAGATAGATAGATAGATCGATAGCTGGATAGATACATAGAAAATAGATAGGTAGGTAGGTAGATAGGCAGAGAAAGAGCGAGAAAGAGTGAGAGAGATCAAGCACCTTTCAATCCATCAGTGGCTTCGCTCTGCCATCCTTGATTCACAACAACCAAACTCTCCTATAGGTTTCCTATTTTTGAAACTTCCGCCACCGCCTTGTGCGGTACTACTGGTAATTATGTAAAATTATATCTATATATATATATTATATTCTGTAGGGTTTGCATACCGCACTTATCTTCGTACCATGAGGTTTTTGACCAAGTATCTTGCAACACCTCCTGAGCTAAAGTCAGGTTCTCGAAGCACTCCCCGAAGCTGGCCTCGTCCACCTTCAACGAAAAAATTAGATGAAAAAAATGAAAAGGGGCTGGAGATGGCTAGAGGAGAACCCGCCGAAACAACCCCCAGCCAACTGACACAGTTATCATATTATTTAATTATTATTGCCCATCTCGTGCATTGCCCGGTCAGACACGACCGCATTTCCTCCACAATCAGACCTTCCGCAAAGCCTATCTGTGAATTCCAAATGACGTTTCCGACTTTAGCACCAGTTCGATGTATGGACCGACGAAGTGTGGGGGCTTTGGGCATGCACGCAAGCAAGCCAGCCACCGCAGGCCGAGTCATCCGAAGATCCCCCCGAACTGGTATCGGCTGCACATCCCTGCACCTCCATCTACATGAGTTGCTGCCAAACATGGGAAAAAAAAACATGGTTCCCACTAGGGCCCTCTCACAACCCGCGTGAAGTCCACACACAGGGAAGAGAATGTACAGTTGATGCGTGGCAGGCTTTTATAAGATATGTATATTACATATGTATATGCAGTTGTGTGTGTGTGCATGGTGCACGTGTGTGTGTGTGTGTGTCTCTCTCTCTCTCTCTGTCTCTCTCTCTCTCTCCATCGCAATCAGGTGACCCTGCCATAGCATCGACTAGAAAGCAGATTGGATACGAACAAACTACGCTACCGAATGTCCACCTATTACAGGAGCAAGACATGGTTGGCAGATTTATCATGTGGTGAAACTGGCGTCGTCAAAGCAAAAGCGAATCCTACAGGAGACCCATCTGCAATGCCATGGGTTGCAACGGTACGTCATATGGGCACACCTCCGCGCTCACGCACACCGAGGCACACCATCACACACCACATACACAATACGCACGTCCGAGGAGTTTCTTATCCTGGGAGCCCACTTACGCGATGGGAAACAACACATGCGTCGCTTTGACCACCTTTTGCTGGCCAAGTGGCACCCCAATGTGACCCACTGTAAGAGACCCTTCAGGTGATCATGCCTTGCCTCCACACCAATCATGGCTGAAACCACAGCTGCAGCGTCTGAAGCAGTGTCTTCACATTCGTCCGCCTCAGCCTGCAAATGCCACAAGACCCACAAGGAACCCACCAGGAACAATGCAACCTGAGGAGGATGGAGCCTGTCAATCTCATTCAAAGTGTAAATTGCTGCTAGCACTTGATGCATGATGAAGCAATGTGGAACAGCCCTAATCCGCTAGGTCTGAGCAGACCCTTGGAAGGTCAAGAGTTGAAGCATGGTGAACAATGGTGAACAATGGTGAGGCAGGTTTCTTATGGTTTCCTGCTGTTGCCGCTGCTGTTGCTGTTGCTGTTGTACTCCCACGCCAGTGCTTCGCGCAGCTCGCGCAAACCCAACGCGATGCCTGAAGGTCTGATGCCATGCGGGCACAGTCTAGCGCTGAAAACACTGAGCCCCCATGGGTTTCTAACCACTTGAAGACTTGGCTAGTTGGGCCTATCACTTGCATCATTGCTTTCACCTTATTCCAAACCATTGCTCTGGAATGCCACCAGCTGCTTTAAGCCAATGACGTTTTCTGAAATTCTGATGAATCCTCTGGCTTATCCTTACCCTGTGCAACATCACGCAAACATAACATGTTGTTCTATGATGTTCTATGTGTCACTTTGCACATGAAAAACATGAAACATATGAAACATCACCTAACCAACGTAGCCTTCGTGTTCCTTATTGCTGCTTGCAACCTTGGACTTTTGGTCACTGAGCTTTGCATTGCTATCATTGCTTTACGGAGGCATCAACTAGGTTCAACTAGGCCCATTTCATGGCTACTCTGATGCTACTTCTGGTGCTACTTCTGATGCTACTCTTCATGCTTATACTTCATGCATACGTTATGCTACTTCTATGTCTTGGAGTGGGCCGTGATGCGATTCCTGCGCTGGAGCTGATCGAATCTGATCGAGCTGTTTCAACTGGCAACTCACATGGTGCCGGAGCACATAGACTGCATTCGACTCTCAGTTACTCTCTCTCTCTCTCTCTCTCTGTGCAGCGCCATATATCGCCATCTCAACGAATTCAGCTAGGCCGGATTGGACATGATATTTTCTAGCTGAGTCGATCTGCAAGTGCACATGCTCTGTTTCCGTGGACATGTGCGAATGTGAGCATAGAATGGCTTCGCAGCTTTCAAATCGAAATAAAAACAATCCCTCTGTGAACCCCATCTCTATGACATTGGAGTCTGCTTGGCATCACTGATCTATATTGATCTGTATATGTTGATGTGAAACTACGTACTAGGAACACGGCACATAGGCGGCCGTGGCTCACATTCAAGATTGAGTACCAACCAGCATTTGTTTTCTATGCGTTTGTAAGGGTATTTCTCAAGTCCCATGTGTATACGCATTCAGTGGCTGATTTCAATGCAGAGTTCACCAAAATTGCATTTTCGCCTCAGCGAAACGATAATTTTACTGCTTTTTTGAAATGACGTAACTACTTGGTCTATGCAAGGACTTGCTTCTTTTCTCCTAATTCTGACAGGATCACTCCTCCGGCAGCAGCTGTTCCAAGTGTTCCAAGAATTCGCTCGGGCTCACACTGCCGAGACTTTGCCCCCAAGCCCACATGTACATGTAGGGTAACATGCCCCACCCCACCCCAACCCTCCCCCATCAGCAGCGTAGCATCCGTCCAGTGCAACCTCACACGAAGGGTAACATGCCCCACCCCACCCCAACCCTCCCCCAATCTCCCCCATCAGCAGCGTAGCATCCGTCCAGTGCAACTTCACACGAAGGTTAACATGCCCCAACCTCACCCCAACCCTCCCCCATCAGCAGTGTAGCATCCGTCCAGTGCAACTTCGCACGAAGGGTAACATGCCCCACCCCACCCCAACCCTCCCCCATCAGCAGCGTAGCATCCGTCCAGTGCAACTTCACACGCGGGGTAACATGCCCCACCACCCAACCCTCCCCCATCAGCAGTGTAGCATCCGTCCAGTGCAACTTCCACGAAGGGTAACATGCCCCACCCCACCCCAACCCTCCCCCAATCTCCCCATCAGCAGCGTAGCATCCGTCCAGTGCAACCTCACACGAAGGGTAACATGCCCCACCCCACCCCAACCCTCCCCCATCAGCAGCGTAGCATCCGTCCAGTGCAACTTCACACGAAGCGTAACATGCCCCACCTCACCCCAACCCTCCCCCATCAGCAGTGTAGCATCCGTCCAGTGCAACTTCACACGAAGGGTAACGTGACCCACCCCACCCCTCCCCCATCAGCAGCGTAGCATTCGTCCAGTGCAACTTCACACGAAAGGGTAACATGCCCCACCCCACCCCAACCCTCCCCCAAATATCAAAAATACGTCCTTCGGTACAGGGCCGTCTACGCGCCGTGCACCAACTACGTTGAGCAAACTGACTGGTAGTAACTAGAAATACAAAATGCAAAATCGAGACTACACCAAATCCTATCACTCACGTGACACAAATTTTAGTGCTTAGAGCCTCCCAAGCGCAAAAACTCGCGAGTGTCGGAGGCAAAAAGACCACCGGCCATGACTGGCGACTTCGCTGGAACCGTGCCATCGTGACCAGTATCTGCCTGATATGGGTCCTGAGGCGGGAAACAGAAACAATTCGTTGCTGAAATGGCACGAAATGCCTGGAAGCATCACGTACGTCCTAACCGACGTTGAAACAAACTGTAGACAGCAATGATACTGCGTGCACGTTGCAGAAGATACCGCACTGACTGATGAGTACTGCCATGTTAGTTGAAGCCGCATTCTGCGCCTGGCCCAAGGTCCAGGAAAAGCCTGGCAAATCATAAATCGGCGAAAGCTTCAACATCTGAAGTGTAATGCAGATCTACATAAGAAAAAATGAATTTTTTTTGAATCGCACAAGCCGCAGCTGCAGCTGAGTGCAGAATCCAACTGTTGGCTATCTGCTTCGCCGAATGAAACTGAACTTGTGAACCTTGCAGCACCATGATTTTTGTCTGAATCACGGAATCGGAAGGAAAAATACGGAAAAATCAAATTATCAAACAAGGGGAGGAACAGAAGCAAAAAAGGAGCAAAAGGGTGTAGACATCTATTATTTCTGAGGCCGGGCTGGGAATATGCCCGCTATCGATGACGGAACTTTCGGTGACGAAGCTTTCGGTGATGAAACTTTCGGTGAAGAGGTGTGCGATGGAGTGTCAGGAACAAACGTTGAGTCTTTGGGGGAATTCGTTTACTAAATTTATTTGAAGAATGTGGTACATTGTTGATGTCAAACTGATCTACGTGACCACTTTCTCTATAAGCATCTGCATAGGTTTCGATTGGCCAGTGAGCTCTGGGTTTGCCTACTCGTCTTGCATGTTCAGTTCTAGGTATGAGTGAATTAGGTAGAAAAAGGACCTGACGCATGGGATCTTGTGGGTCTGCTCGAATGATGTGCCCTAAGAGCTGTTTTTTCTTTTCAACATTTTTCAACCATAGTTTGGGGAATTCTATAATTTTTAGACCATAATGACTTTTGACAAGTTCTTTTTACCGATGCGTTGGTCATTGTTCTGTCAACACTAGTGGGTGGGATATGTAAAATTCTCCGATATCCTTTGATCTGAAAAGCATCTAATCTATGAAGTTCTGACTGGTTAAGCTGGATAGTTTCCAACCCATATAAAAGCTTACTCCGAAGGATTGAATGAAAAACCTGAATTTTCCATGAAATGGAATTTCGCGCGCTTTGGTCCAAAACAGTTTGAGGATTGAGTCTGCGATGCAGTTCAGGACTTCTTGTCTATTATCTATCTATATATATATATCTCTCTCTCTCAAAAACATGTACAGACTTGATGCTGATAGAATCTAATGGACATAACTTCTCTCCTTCTTGATTTTCTTGTCCAGTGATTCCTAGTAAATTGGTACAAAAGAGAACGCCTCTCCACCAAACCATAGGAGAGAGATAGCTGCCTGCTACAACCCCTTGCATCCCTTTGCACCCATTGTGTCAGTTTTGCAGGTGCTGTGACAATACTGGGCCTAACATGCCTGACTTTTGTAGCTTTTACCAGCCTTTACAGGTCTTTACAGCCTCTACTGTACAGTGTACAGTCGATGTCTGATCTGCCTCTTCCATGCTTTTTTCATCGTTCCCAGGCCTAGAACGCCAAGGCCACCACCTAGTCTGTACTCCAAGTCCTGGTCAACAAAGGACGAGCGGCAACAGGTCCACATGCGTCCGCATGGGTCCACTATGCCCCGAGCGTTTTGCACATTAAAATTAAAGAAACATCATCAAAATTGCCATAGGTTTCCCATCTTCGATCCTAAGGTTTGGCAAACCAAGACTTCACCTTGACATCAACAGACCAGTCCCCCAGACCCCGGTCATCAGCACCGATGGTGTCGATGCTGGGAACAACTACATGGCGCTTGTCCTGCACGCTTCGGCACAGCAGTTGCAGTGAAAAAATATCGTTATTTCAATTTCATGTTATACTTCCGCTGCCACAACAATGCTACAAAGCAGCGGAAAAGATGGAAAAGGAAAAGCTGACGAATGCATGCGTCCATCCCCTTCTCACGCCCCAAGTCTTAGACTTAGAGGAATATGTTTAGTTCAGCTTCTTTCAGACAGATCTTACAGACCGGAACCAACAACGAGTCAACAACGTTATACAGGAAGCTGTGAGCTAGGACTTTCCATACGAAAGTGCGACGTATGCTTGATAAAAAGGACTTCAACGTCCTCGTGCAACCCCTTGTTGTGAACCTGACCCGTAGTCCAGCGTCAAGGGTGCAAAGAAGCAGCACTCATGACATGTCCTCTTTGATTCGAGACAGTATAGGTTCCAACCATCCTTTTGTTGCCTGCCCGACAGAGAGAAGTCGACTGGCAAATATACCAAGTGTCTCCGCACCGTGATATGTCTATTCATACTGTCGCATCACCTCATAGAGTACATTTCGTGAAACTATCAAGTGAGAAACTAGACCTGTCCACAGCTGTCCCACAAGAACATACAAGAGCTGGGTCCCAACTTTGTGTTTGATTCTGTCTTGCCTACAAGTGCCATCAAGTGCCATCAAGTGCCTCTATGTGGCTATCTAAGAAAATCGTGACTTCGGCTGTTGATCGCCAAACTCCTTCCATCCGAGCCTCATAGACACAGCATGTTGAAATCCACAGTGCCAAAGATAGTGCATAGCATACAAACCGAAAGAAAAAAACTGCAATATCTCCAGGGGCTACTTGGGACAACCATTCTACACTGTAGAATGGGGAAAACCTGTAATATGATGTAATATGGATATGTTTTACCAAAAAAACAACTGTAGAATGGTTACCTGGAATTGCTGTAAAATGGATAGTTCAAACCTCAAACCATAAAATGCAAAATGGTTCCCCACTGTAAAATGCATATATTGAAAAATCAAGTAAAATATCCCCAACTTAACATCTTGTTTTTTTTGGGTGGTCAACCCTGCCCTGGTGTAAAATGGTAAACCAGGTCTTCTAATGATATGCTCTGTAAAATGGAAATCCCAATCCACCATGAACACGAAGATCATTCAAGATCAACAAAGAACTCGTTGTCAACAATGCGCGTCGCGAGCAAACCGGATCGGGCACAGGTAGGGTTAGATACTTTATGCACATATCCCCTAAAATCGAAATTTTGCCTCGTTAATTCGGGGGTGACGTCGTGACGTCGAATTAAATCGTACAGGTTAATGGTTTCACAATTTTTCACATGGTTTTACTTCATTTGGGTTCATGTGGCTGGTATGTTAGCATCCAGAATACTGTAAAATTGATAATAATAGATGAACTCTATGATCCCTATAAAATGGATACACACCTCAAAACCATATAAGTATATATAAGCCCTATAAAATGGTTAAATATGTTAACATCACACCAAAAACCTACAAAATCAACTGTAGAATGAAGAACCGGGTTCTATCCAATAGAATGGTTATACCAGGTTCCATGATATTCGGCCCAACCCAACACCCTTGTAAAATGGATATTCCAAATTGGAAAAAACCTAACAAAGGAACTGTAGAATGGATCTTCCAGGTCTATCAGTCCCCAAAACAGACTCAAAATTAGCCTCCTGTAAAATCCATACCCGCAGGTTCATTTTACAGTAAAATCTGAAAAAAAAATCCAGCCTGTATTTTGGTTTTATTAATAAGGTCTCAGGTCCGTCCATTCTACAAAAGGCTTATTTCAACAAGGATTATAAATACATATATATATAATATATATATATATAATTATATATATATATATATGTAAATAATAACATAAATACCAGTAGTGCCCGCACGAGGCGGGGCGGAAGTTGCCTTAGGGATATATGTAAGACCTTTCTCATCTATAGAACTTGCATGCGCCGTGCGCCAGCCAAGCCCGTGCGTGCGTGCATTCTGCAAAAGTTGTGTCCTGTTTCACATGTCACATTTGATGCTCCACTTCGCCCTTCACACTTCACACTTCTCACTGCGCTCTTCACACTCCACACTATTCCACACTTCACACTTCACACTCCACACTTCACACTTCACACTCCACACTTCACACTTCACAGTCCACACTTCACACTTCAGTCCACGCCTCACACTTCTCACTTCTCACTGCTTTCTTCACACTCCACACTTCACACTCCACACTTCACACTGCACTCTTCACGCCCCACACTTCACACTGCACTCTTCACACTCCACACTTCATCTCATCTGAGCTCTTCTCACCTTATCCCAGCTCATCTCTTCTCATATGTCATCTAAGCTTTCATGAATCACTTCCCAGTACTACTACTAAGGAGCTTGCATGCGCCATGCGCCAGCCAGGCCCGTGCGTGCGTGCTTTGTGCGAAGCTGTTGCTGTGTTGTTGTCCCAGAACATGACCTGCGCGCGACCCCGGTGCAATGCAACGACAAGCAAGCACTTTCCTCACACTTCACATTGCACCGTCCACACTTCACATCTGAGCTCTTTTCATCTGGTTTCATGTCTTCACATATGTCAGCTACGTTCTTCTTGGCTATTTTCATGTCATCTGAACGCAGCTCAAACTTTCTCATGCATTGGAGCTACTTTCAATTCATCTCGGCGCTTCTGCACATCAGAAAGGTTGAGCCACAGATGCACTTTACACAGCTTGCACAAGAGTACTTCCCACTAGCACTTGAAGAAACACCTCTCACCTCATCTTACCTCTTCGTAACTCATCTCGGTTCTTCTGCATGCCAAAGGCCTAGACCATAATATATTCACAATATTCAAGTCATTCATGCCATTGATGCATTGCATCAAATCGCAACTGCAAGTGTAGTCATAGTGTAACTACAGTGTAGTTGTTACCTGTGAAGGAGATTCACACGATCCAAGGTCAACAGCTGCTTTTTTCTCTGCGCTACACTTGGTCTAGGCTTTTGGCAGCTCTTTCGACCCGCACTGGCACGAAAGGCTGGACAGCTTATAACGTTGGCAGCCTGGTTGGCCGCCATGGCACTTCACGAAGCAAATCAGGCAAGAAGTTCTCACTATCCGCAATGACATTGCGGACCCAAGCTGCATCTGCTTGCGACAAACAACATTCTGCACCTGCTCGGTAAGCACTCAACAACATGGCCGCAGCGTGCACACCCTCATCTGTCAGCGGCATGCAGGGTGAAGATCCGCACAATGTGTTGAATCGGCGACAGCAGTTTCTCTTCAAAGAACGTCAAAGCATCCGTTTCTGGCAATGTGTCGCCAGGATCTGCAAAGTTCTCGGCAGTCAGTCGACATGGCTGCTTCGGCAAGCCATCTTGCGCTCGCTTTTTGGCTTCTTTCAATCACATATCACAGATCGGTCTCTCGGGCTCAAGCCAATCTTTTTTCGGCATTTGCACAAAATTCGTTTTTTGGAAAGTTTGCGTTTCGAACTTCCCAGGCAACTGTGCTTTCGTCCGTTTGGTGCCAAACCTACCTTCGTGACAATACGAACAATCTTGAAATTCAAGCTCGTTCAAAAAAGTGTCTACTTCATTGACACGATGGAAAAAAGCCATGGCGCGGCTTTCGGCATCTGCTGAATTTCCGTACAGTTGTCGCAAACTCTTCGGCAACCTGGGTCGTGGCAAGTTATCTCCCAAGACTGTCTCCCGGCTGTGCAACTTGGCTTCATGCGATTTCTTCAGCGGCACAGTGGCCGATGCTGGCAACAGCTGTCGTAGGGCATCTGTCAACATCTCTTTCGTCTCCTCTGTCAGACTCGGAAACGTGCGTTGCATGAAGTCATAACAGCAACGAAGTTCGGCATCTTGCTTCTTTGCATGCACATTAAACAAAGACTCAACACTTGCCGCAGCAAAAGATTGCAACTCTACTTTCCTTCAATCAAGGATCTCCACGAACTTGTCTATCGAGCAAACCGATGCAACACACAGCTGTGCTTCCCATTCCTGCAACATCGCCTTCATATCTTCATCGAGCTTTTCATAACTTCGTCGGCAAAAATTCTTGCCAAATATATGCTCTTTGGTACCTGTACGCTCAACCACACACATGAGTTCAAGCAACGTCGACTTTTGCATAGCTTTCAACTCATCTCTGTTTTCTTCATGCATTTTAATGAAACGATCGAACTGTTGCTGCATGGGACGTTCTTTCACGCAATATGTTCTTCCCCAATCTTCGAGCACCTCTGTTTGCTCCGCCGACATCTTGTTCTGAAGAGCAAGGTACAACTTGTAATGCTTCAATTGTTTAGGATTTCCGTCACGTTTGCTACTTTCTTTTCCGCTCAATAAACATTCTTTCAAAGTCTTGCATCGCAGAAGCTTCAATGTCTCTGTTTCTTTCTCGACATATGACTGCAGCTGCGCAAAAGCATCCGGTTCCACCATGGCTGCAGGACGTGTCAGAAATTGCGATACGCCCGTGGGCAAGTCCGGGCCGGACTGCCGCGGAACTTGCTCACGCACGAACTATTCCTTTGGACACGTCGAGTCAAGAAATGAGCTAACACATGATACATACATCAGCATTTGCTTGTGATAGTCTTTGAAAGTCATGCGGTTGCTTCATCTATGTGCTGTTGATGCATGAGCATCATCACATGTCTGCTTGCTTCATTGACATGAAAAAAAGATAGCAGAACAACTTGAACCAGATGCCACACCTTCAAATCGTGTCTTGTCATCATACCTTTTTTTTGCAACTTCCATGGAACCCCCTTTAAGGGACAGATTCTGAATAGCATACTTGTACAAAACATATCTCAAAGCAGTCCACGTATCACATGCTAGCCAGCATCCATGGAGACCAAAAGCACCTAAAAGGAGTTCACACACGCATTCGCTGAACCCCGTTCAAAAAATGTTCATGACAAAACCCGGTTTAAAAACCTAGAGATGACACTACCACAAAAATAGAACTCATCACAGTCTTTCATCCGCCATGCCAATATAATTGTTTCATCTTTCATGCCTTTTTCCGAGCGATTTCTTTAGCAACACATCGCCACCGTGGTTTCTTATCAAGTGTTCGATAACTTGTTCCTAGACATGAATAGAAAACAGACTCCAGAGACAGAGTTGCAAAACACAAAAGGCGCAACAGCATCTGAAATTGCAGCTCCAAAACCGGATCTCGACGCCAAAGCAGAAAAAAGACGATTTTGAAGCACTTTTTAAAAGGATTTTCAAAAGGAAAATTGCCAGAGCCAAAATTGCGAAAATCTGCTAACAAATCACTATCGCAGCCTGGTTGCAGCCACTCCAATACGATTTACAATCTTCAGCTGCAAAAGACAATAGTATTACGCATGCAGCCGCGGCACCAAGCAACCTTGACGCAGCCATTACAATGCGATCTGCAGAGACTGAGGTGCAAAACACAATAGAACTACGCGCAACGGCGTCGGAAATTGCAGCTCCAAAACCGGATGGATCTCGACGCCAAAGCAGGAAAAAAAAACGATTTTGAAGCACTTTTTGAAAGGATTTTTTAAAGGAAAATACTAGCGCCAAAATTGCGAAAATCTGCTGACAAATGACTATCGCAGCCTGGTTGCAGCCACCCCAATACGATTTACAATCTTCAGCTGCAAAAGACAATAGTATTACGCATGCAGCCGCGGCACCAAGCAACCTTGACGCAGCCATTACAATGCGATCTGCAGAGACTGAGTTGCAAAGCACAATAGAACTACGCACAACGGTGACGGAAATTGCAGCTCCAAAACCTACCTTTCATCGCCGCCTGCAACCACTTTACACGGAAAAACACAAGGTTTCGTGCTCCGGCTTCATCCCCAAAACATAGCCCATGCAACATTCATGCAGGTCAGTTCTTTTGTGATGTATTGTTATGTAGTGCAAAGTCTCACACCACCCTTCATCAAGGTCAATTCTTTTCTGATGTATTGTTATGTAATGCACAAAGTCTCACACCACCCTTCATCAAAGTCAATTCTTTTCTGATGTATTGTTATGTAGTGTAAAGTCTCACACCACCCTTCATCAAGGTCAATTCTTTTCTGATGTATTGTTATGTAGTGTAAGGTCTCACACCACCCTTCATCAAAGTCAATTCTTTTCTGATGTCTTGTTATGTAATGCAAAGTCTCACACCACCCTTCATCAAGGTCAATTCTTTTCTGATGTATTGTTATGCAGTGTAAAGTCTCACTTCACGCTTCATCAAAGTCAATTCTTTTCTGATGTATTGTTATGTAGTGTAAAGTCTCACACCACCCTTCATCAAAGTCAATTCTTTTCTGATGTCTTGCTATGTAATGCAAAGTCTCAAACCACCCTTCATCAAGGTCAATTCTTTTCTGATGTATTGTTATGCAGTGTAAAGTCTCACTTCACCCTTCATCAAAGTCAATTCTTTTCTGATGTATTGTTATGTAGTGTAAGGTCTCACACCACCCTTCATCAAAGTCAATTCTTTTCTGATGTATTGTTATGTAATGCAAAGTCTCACGCCACCCTTCATCAAGGTCAATTCTTTTCTGATGTATTGTTATGTAGTGTTAAGTCTCACACCACCCTTCATCAAGTCAATTCTTTTCTGATGTATTGTTATGTAGTGTAAAGTTTCACACCACCCTTCATCATAGTCAATTCCATCAAGTAAAATAGTCATTCGTAACTCGGAAGTATTGCTTCCCAACTTCCTTTGATAAATATAAAGATAAATATAAATATATATATATATATATATATGCGCGTGTGTCTGTGTGTGCGCGTGCATTTATTTATCTAATTTTATTTATACATTCGTTACATCTGTGGGTGAAAGGTTGAAAGCCCGGTTTCCCTTCTGTCCATCGCATCTGCCCCTTCTGGGAGGGGCTTGCGCCGGACTCGTGTCCCTTCTGACGCACCTCCGAACCTCAATGTACCTTTCCAAAACCACCAACCTCCGTTCGTAGATACATCGCTGCCACTCGCACCCCCTGCCGACTCCACTTCCTGCATTTTGTGATCTCATGTGTTCTCATGTAATTTCTACAACCTCTCCACTAGCTACACTATCACTACGACCTCAAAGTCCATCGACATAATTGCGGAAACTGTACTATCATGTGTTATCCTTATGCACTGCCCTATACACAACCCACATATTTAAACACTACGGCAACACAGTACCTCTCCACTCAATGTGTACGTGCATTGCTACTTGCAAACGTAATACCTGTAGCATCCTATAACAACAAATAACACCCCTCGTCATCCTCGTCGCTGAATGCTACGAGTACCTCTTGGTATAAGTAATTGTGATATCTTGCGACGTTCGCAGCGAGTACTGACATGTAATGACTGTACCCTGACTCTGTTTCCCATCGTGGTACAATCATAATTTGGCATACATGTCAGACCATGTCAGGCCATGACCGTGAGGAACGGGTCGCAAGGTCGGAGAAATTAGATTGCAATCTGATAAAATTTGTTTGGCCCAACCGTGTGCATTTCGCGATCATTGCCAAGTTGCGAGCATCAAACCTGCAACTGAAACTGCAGGAATGTGATTGACCCGAGTGTTTCAGGAGGCTCTTAGGTAAGATTTCTAATTCTCTATTGTCGTTCTTCAATTCAACCCATATGGTGTGACTCGTTTCCTACCCTTTTCCCCATGTGACCTACCCAAGTTTGTGATATGCCAAACTTAAAGATGTTGCCGTCCATTGGCGTTGGTTCAGGCCAGGCCTCGGCGCTCTTTGAGCCGGACCAAACGTGTCTTTGGCAAGACCTTGCGCATGGAGCGACGCCTGATCTTTTGAGTATATCAGTATATCCTGATTATCCTCCTTTGTGAAACTTAAAGCGATGCCCTCAAATTTTTGACCTGGCAATAGGTGAGCCCACCCCCCGCCAAAAAAAAAAAACGGCAAGAGACCCCAAACAGTGCGGGGGCGTGGGAGGATGATGTATGATAATGTGGATGATGATAACAATGACCATGATGGTGACGGTGATGGTAATGACGATGACACTGATGATGACGATGATGGTGATGATGATGATGATGATGATGATGATGCTGATGATGATGATGGTGATGATGATGATGATGGCGATGATGGCGATGATGATGATGATGATGTTGATGATGATGGCGGTGATGATGATGATGATGATGATGTTTAGTAGTAGTAGTAGGAGTAGTAGTAGTAGTAGCAGCAGTAGTAGTAGTAGTAAGTAGCAGTAGCAGTAGCAGTAGCAGTAGCAGTGGCAGTAGCAGTGGCAGTAGGAGTAGTAGTAGTAGTAGTAGTATTAGTAGTAGTAGTAGTAGTAGCAGGAGTAGTAGCAGTAGTAGTAGTAGTAGTATTAGTAGTAGTAGTAGTAGTAGCAGGAGTAGTAGTTTAGTAGTAGTAGTAGTACCGTGTTTTTTGAACACGCCCCATTTACATATATTTAGGACGTCGTTCCAATGTCGTTCTGGATGTCGTTCAGAGGGTCGTTCCCCAACTAAATGGCACATTCCAAAATTACCAAAAACATCCGAAATAGCTGCGGCGGTGCCTGGAATTCTGAACGAAGGATCGCGCAATACTACTTCCCTACCCCTATAGAGGGGGAGGGCGGGGGGGGGACAAAACCAACCTGTCGAATTCCACTTTGTTTTGCTTGGAAACCCTGGGATAGTGATCCAACCCCTAGAATGGAATTGTAAAGTAACATTTCTTAACAAGCCTTGGGCACTGGTTAGAAAATACTTGCGCTTAGCTCGAGGAGCT